TTTTTTGTTTATTTAGCTCGATCCGAAAAAATTTGTGATCAGAACGAAACGGGTGGTTTACGCCGATTCATAACTCGAACAGTGTCCATGTAAACGCTTAATCTGTTCATTTTTTTCCAGTCGTGAAAAACTGACCTGACTGCGCATGTGCGACCTTTGTCATTTCCGCCTGGCTAATGCTAATAACATTAGCATGTCAGGGAAGCAAAACTGATCGGTGAGCGACACATTTCTACTAGAAACTTTGAAAGAGCTCAAAATGATCTGTATCACTTGTAGCTCAGTCAGGGAGTGCAGCAACGTCTCCACCATCATTAAAACCTGTCGCGGGTCCATTTTGGGTGCTCAGGTTTGTTTACGTTCATCCCGGAAGTAGAACTTCTTCTTCTGTGTTTTTTTAAGTAGAGTTTACCACTCTGCACATGTCAGTACTTGTGTTCAGAACAAAGCCCGCTGCATGTAAATGCTCGTCATGAACAGATTGTGCCCGTGTAAACAATACATTTGAATTATTTAATCTGAAAACATTTCAATCCGGTCAAAAAAATTTGCACATGTAAACATAGCTTATGTGTCAGCCTTATGGACAAAAACTGGAAGTTGGTTCCACAAGAGAAGAGCCTGATAACCGAAAGATCTTCCTCCCATTCTGCTTTGGGAAACTCTAGGAACCACAAGTAAACCTGCAGTCTGAGAGCGAAGTGCTCTGTTAGGAAAATATGGGACAATAAGATCTGTAATATAAGATGGAGCTAGGTTGTAGGTTAGAAGTAAGATTTTGAATTCAATTCTGAATTTGACAGGGAACCAATGGAGAGAAGCTAAAACTGGAGAGATATGATCTCTCCCACTAACTCCAGTTAAGACTCTGGCAGCAGCATTTGCAATTGATAGGAAAAGAACTTCACACTTGACGCATTCACAACCAACAGGATTAAATCACTACGTTACAGAGAATCACAAATTGTTTGTTCTCTTTCAAAACCTAGAAGATATAATAAACTTTATATTCATGGTTCTAAACAGTTAAAATAATCATCTTCATAAATTATCCATAAATTGGCTCCATTTTCTAAAAATGAGCATCAACCACTGAAACACTCCAATAGATGGACCTCCATACCTGATTCCATCAAAAAAACTTTTTATTTTCCGTCATATCAAAAGGGCCCATGTGTTTCTATTGTTTAATACTAAGAAATAATTATCTTCTTATATTAAATAACCTACCTCTGTAGCAGGTGATGAGCCCCGTGGTGTCACCCTCTGGATCCTTGATCAGCACACAAAGAGATGATGTGCTGGTTACCAGTAAGGACACATGGCTGGGAGGACCAGGGAGCTCTGTGTGAGAAAGTTAAAGACAAACTTGAAATCATAATGAAACTCATAACAGCTACAAAAAGTAAAATCATGTACGGTTTCCTTATAGTAAAATCACTTGGCGTCACCTTTGAATTAAAAGCATAAATTAGATTTCTGTTTATTGTATGTAAAAAAATACAAATAATCATCTGTGCCTTGCAACAAGGAGGTATTAAATCTGTCTTGCATTTTAATGAGTCAGTGATAGTTTTTTTTTTTTTTTTGGTTCTGCTTTGTGATCAAATGTAACCGTTTCACCCACTGAGTCCAGACAAAGGGGTTTATAGTTAGTTCACTCTCAGTTGTGACCTTGAATTTAACAACTTGCACTAAATCATACACCGAAAGAAAAAAAAGTATATTTCCAATTTGAAGCATTTAGCCATCCCTCTTTCTCCCCAAAGGGTTTGTAATAAAAGCATGCCTCACTTCACGGTGCACAAAAGAGAGACCTGGACTGCTCTTAACACTTAGTTAATAAAAAAGTGCATGAAAGAGATCTGGAAGTCCTTGAGAAAGAAATTAAATGAATTCTGAGGAAAAGCATTTAAAAAATGGTCACAATAGACATCGTAATAATAATTTTAAAAAATCATTGTGAGTGGTGAACAAAAGAAAGAGCACCACATTCTTGAAAACTCTGCAGACTCCAGCTCTTATTTTTACCAGCATCAAGGACTTATGATCCAGGCAGCAGTGAACGTTGGCCTTGAGAGAGTTTAGACAGGCTGATGACAAGGGAGTCTGTCGAATTTTAAATGAGCTGAAAGGGGTGAGCCAGAGGGAGACCTTCTGTAAGGACTTAACAAAAGGCCTGACAAAAAAAATCTGTGAAACTTGAGCACGATGTTGGGCTGACTTCTTGATCTCTTTAGTCTTGTCAGCACTGATGGAGGACTTTGAAGATTAGAGCTGGGGGTGTCAGGCTGGCACTAACTTGGCTCTAATGACAGCTGAATATCAAGGTTTTAGACTCGTTAA